CTATGGAATCTGACTCAGTCCTAGCCTAGCCTGCATCGATTCTTTTTGTTTTTCAACTTTAAGCTCTCCGAAACCAATCACTTTCTCATCAATCTCATTGGTCCCTAATTTCAACTTTATGGCATGTTTACCAATCAGGAATTGGAATTCTCATCAGGAATTGAATTCCGCCCATAGAGAATTCATGCGTTTATTTCACATAAGGAATTGAAAAAGTAAGCGGGGCCCACACAAAATTAGGAATTGAATTCCTGATTTTGGAGGAATTCAATTACTGAATGGGAGGTGGTATTCTAATTCCTGGAGAATTCACCCATTAGGAATTCATCTTTTTTACCCATTATATCCTCACACAATTTTCAAAATTCCAAATACACCATCTACTTTAACCAAAAAATGAGGACATTTTAGTAATTAGTACCACTTATACCCCAATTCCTTATGGTTTAGTAAACAACTTCAATAGGAATTCGGAATCTAACTCCCCTCAATCCATATGGTTTAGTAAACAACTTCATTAGGAATCCGGAATCTAATTCTTCTCAATCCAACTCCTCCTCAATTCAATTCATCCTCAATTCAATTCCCCCTAATTCAATTCCGGATTAGTAAACATGCCATTAATTCCTTCTTCAACTGCCAAGGCCAATGCTCATGACTAGTTCGATTCTGTTACCTTGGCTCCTCGGAAGCTGAAGCTGAATAAAGAAAAAGAGGAAATGATAAGGGACCACAATATAATATGGGTATATTTTTGGTCACCACTTTAACTCAAGGTGTATTCTCACCACCATTCTCAACACTTTGACGGTAGGACTAACGGTGCAACAAGACACCTAATTGAGTGACCTCTGCCAGTGGCGGAACCAGGAATTGAGATTAGAGGGGGTCATCTTGCAAAATATAGAAATAAAGGGAATGAGAGCATAAACACTACAAGTTCTCGTAGAGCTTCTTGAAAATCATTATCAGACTCCTGAACCAATAACCTAAAGTAAAAAAGAAATAAGCTTTAAATTACAACTTTCACACATCAAGTTATGATTGTTGTATATATAAAACCCGTGTATCATTTTTCAATATTCAATTCAATTCATATACACAACATTAAATTATTTACACACAAAGAGAGAGACCTCTGCAACTAATATTTGAGTTGAGTGACCAAAGTGTAACTTGGGGTATAGTTGAGGGACCATTGCTGCAAATAACCCTATATTATATTGTTGAAGAATATGAGTCCCACATCGGATTTTTGACTAAATAAAATACAACATATAATAAATGTTTCTACTACTAATATCACAGCGAGATCTTTTGTGACAAAATCACACACCTATTAGGCTTTGTTAGTGGTTAAGTTGGGGACAATATCGGTGTTGCTAGTAGTGGACCACTGAACCTCTCTCTTAAATTTAAAATATATCTCTTTTTTCTTGTTTTTGGACAATTATATATCTCTTGGAATTAATTCAAGAGTTGTGTGTTGTTGTGTAGAAGTTCAATTCTAGTTATAAACGGCTAATGTAATGGGGCTATATTGTTGTATCGAAGCTTAGACAATAAGTTGTTAATATTGTTGAAGAATACACAGAGTCCCACATCGGATACTTCATAAAATAGAAAGCTCTATATAACAAATGGCTCCACTCCTAATAACATCGAGGCTTTTTGTATAAAACCCTACACCTGCTAAACATGTGGTTAAGTTGCGGACAATATTAATGTTGCTAGTAGTGGGACCAAGAGTCGGTCCATATGAAATCTTAACAAATATCAGATTCTCTAGTTCTTTATATTCACTGCATTACTTCATTTTCTGCAACATGTGGGAGCCAATTTATTCAACACTCAAGGTAATCCAATTTCTACCCAAGAAACCCTACACACACACACAGCTCTGGCCACCACACACGGCTCCGGCCACCCGGTTCTCACCATAGAGAAAACTTCGTACCCTCTTTTAGCTATTGTTTCACTTAGACACAATCGAACTAACTTATGCATCGGAGGGCCTTTGGCCAACACCCCCTGGGTGTGGTCTATTTACTCTGGTCTTTTTTACAGGAATCGAGGAAAAAAGAGAATGAAGTTCAAAGGTTGAAGGATCTTCAAGCGGATATTCTCCCTCGAAAATATCACTACTCTGCACAGAGATTTGACCAATCACATCTTGGAGTATTCTCTCTCCTTTACTGAGAGTAGAGATTCCTTGTTGTACATTCATTTGCTTCCATGACTTTATTGAGAATCCTGATGAGCACCTTTAAGCTTTGCCCAATTCAGCATGACCGTATAGTGCCCTCAAAGATTAACAACATAGCCACAAAACATCTATGATGCCTCAGGTTTAAGGATTAGTATGCACCATTGCAATTTATGAGTTCCACCTTGACATGTGAGTAAAAACTTCCATGCTGTAACTCATATGTTGGATCGCGTTCAATGTACTTGTTCTTCTACAAGCACCTACACACATATCAATGTTTGTCCACACTTAATGACTTGAGACCTTATCATTCCCTACATATAGAGACGATACTGTGTGTACTTATCTTTGCGGAATATTGACGCCCAATCAATATTCCTATGACCAGGAACATATTCAGGATTTAGGGATGATGAGAAGTCTCCATGTATGCAATCTCATTACATAGCTCTCATATCCACTTGTGTATTCATTGGACTATGGTTGTTCTACATATTAAAAGATAATATAGGATGATTTAATGTATAAAACAACCTTTCTTACCCATTGATAATATAATATGTCTTTTATCAAAGATGTCCTTAACTCTAACTATTACATAATTAGTTGGCTTTAAGGACATATTTCCAACACAAACTCCTTGAGCATTTTCAGCCCATAAAAGAAAAAGTCTGCATGATTCTATCAACGCGTAATGGACGCAGAGAGACAGAGAGGAAGAAGGGTGGAAAAAGGAGGATACATATTTTTAAGCAAACAAAACCACAAATATTTAAGTGCGTGGTTGATATGAAAAGGTTTGACTTGTGGAAGAGAAGTAAGGGCGGAACCACACTAAGGGCTACAGCACACTATAGCCCAGTGTGGTTTTTGAAGAAAAAAAAATATAAAATTTATATATTTAACTTATTTTCAATATTAGCCCAATTAGTGGCGATTATTTTCAATATTAGCCCAGTTAGTGGCGATGTACAGATTACCTTATTTCCATTTTCAGCATTTAAGTAAATGTCTTTGTCATTTTACTTTTATTTATTTTTATATTACTCCATTTACTTAAGTGCAAAATACGATTTAGGCTAAAAATGATGGCTCATTAAGTCAATATATACTTCATACTAAAATCCCATAAAATCAAGTTTTCTTATTTGATGTGTGAGGAATAAAAGCCGCCAAAAATTATCTTGAGAAAATGATTATTCCGAAAACCCATTTTTCATACTTAGTCAATATTTTTACATGAAACAAATTTTCATGTATGATATGAATGCATGAAGGAACTAAGGTCAATCTAGGTAAAAAACCTTAGATGTTCAATCCACTATGGTGTTAAACCCTATTTGATTTATGTTAAAACTTATTGAAAATTAATTTATGGAGTTATGAACTACCTTAGTCAATATTTTTACATGAAACAAATTTTCATGTATGATATGAATGCATGAAGGAACTAAGGTCAATCTAGGTAAAAAAACCTTAGATGTTCAATCCACTATGGTGTTAAACCCTATTTGATTTATGTTAAAACTTATTGAAAATTAATTTATGGAGCTATGAACTAGCGTGGTTTATATGATTTAATGTTTACTTTTATTTCTAGAAAGACTATAGATATTGTAAGTACCAAAAAAAATAATCATTAAATTTTAAGCTAATAACTTTAGCTAGCCAACCTGTTGAAAAATTCCTGGTTCCGCCCTTGAAGAGAAGCCTTGTATTTCCGAAATTTTTTTTAAAAAAAGGTGTATATCCGTGTAAGACTTTTGAGGGAGAGCAAGTCTCCTCCAGAATATATGACATAGAACTTTAGAAGTAGACCGAGAGCAAAAGAAGCTCCAGTCTGTTTCATGTTCATTTTTTTTTTTTCCTGTGCATTCCATTGTTTAATCTCAATGCTTGATAGATTGTGCAACTAAAGTTTGTGAGTGTGCATAGGTTGAAATCAATATTCCAACAATTTTATGCTGCACAATCTGCTGGACGGCTAAAATTGAAGTTCCGCATCAAATTGGGAGAAAAACGACGTACATACATGATAGTAATGCATTTTCTGCCGTATAAGTAAAAAATTAAGGATAAAAATAATCTTGTCAGTTGTATATGTTTCCTACAAAGTTCCAATGTCTCTAGCAATTAGAGTGCACAAGCCCATCTAAACACGTACATTGAAGACAACACGTAGTAGGGTTTCAATGTGCAAAATGTTAGGGAGAGAAATCTATTTCTTCTACAAGAACAACTCACCTACCATCGCTCAATACACATATATTGATTTCTCTTGTGTTTGGTATCATGAGTCAAAAGTATTTAAATTACATTTATAGAACTTCCGCATTGTGCTTTTGTAAATTATGGAGTTTAGAACCTTCAATCATAGATTGGTCATATGACTTTACCCCATCTTAAGTTTACATTATGTCACATTTACTTTTCTATCTATGTAGCTGGTGAAATCTTGAATAGGCTTGTCCTTCTCACTGTTTTTATTATTATCCCATTCAAACTAATCTCTAGCAGGTCATATGTGGATTTCTCAAGTCAAATGGGGCAACCTAAGAAACACATACAATTAATTAATTGCCGGCCGAGCCGGGTCTATTCTTCTACTGAGCTGTGTGGATTGGCTGTGTCAAATTTTCTTGGATTTTAACGTACGTAGCTTTCAGGAAAGTCAATGTTTGGCTCCTTCGTGCTGGCAAGGCCAAATGTGTGGAGTTTTCAATGGAATGGAGAAGACAAAGTCAGAAAATCATAATATAAATAGGCTATGGCTTTGTGCTCCTTTACAATGCAAGAAAATATTAAAAGCTTTGAAGAACATCAAATTTTTTCTTTCTTCTTCATGATGGGGTCTTTTATGCTTTTGGAATTGGTGGGAACTTTGATGGAATCGCAGAAACTTTGCTTCAGAAATGTTAAGCTCATGTCTTGCATCTTCCTGCTCATAATTTCTCTTAGCTCTATCCTCTTTTTGAGTAATATGCTGTCCATTAAACCATCAATCACTGATTTTGCCCTCAAGGCAAACCTTCTAGCTATGAATATCGGCACCCCTGAATTCGGAAACCTTCTGAATACTTTGAAAGGCGACCTCCGATTATTTGTTGGACTAGAGTGGATTTTTGTTTTCGCATTCTGTTTTTTCTCTTTGTTCTTTGCAACAGCTTCAATCTTAGCATCGGCAGTAACATATTGCGGAAAAGACATGTCTATCAAGGAACTTCTATCAAGGGCCGTGAAATTGCTGAAAAGACCGTTTCTTACTTGGTTTTACATAACCCTTCTTCATCTGGGCTATTGTCTATTTCTCATAACCTTTCTGGGTCCTTTGGTGCTGATTTTCAATCTTACGTTCACTATGCCTTCTTTATTATCTATAATCATATTCCTCCTAGCTCTAGTTTTCGAAGCTTATCTAGCTGTTGTTTGGAATTTAGCACTCGTTGTTTCGGTACTCGAAGAAAACTGTGGAATTGAGGCACTTGGGAAGGCTGGACAGCTCATCAAAGGATTGAAGATACGCGGATTTTTCCTAAATCTTTTGTTTGGAGCAGTCTCTCTTCCTGTGTTCTATGGTGTGCACAAGTTTGGCAAAACAGTCATGTCATCAAATGCTGCCATGATTCCATTGCTCCTCCTGAATTCGATATCCTGCCTGATCGGAATGTTTAAGCTCATGGCATACACAGTCCTCTATCACGATTGCAAGGCGACTCATGGAGAAGAACTTGAAATGAAAGGAGGCACTGAATATACTAAAGTGGCCTTTACCCCACTTATCAGTGCAGATTTACCATGATGAAGGATGTCTGTATTTCTAATAGTTTACTGTTTTTTGCGTGTGTTGTAAGGGCCGGCCCTGACATTTTGGTGGCCCATGGCCAAAAATTAAACATTTTGGTGGCCCATGGCCAAAAATTAAACATTTTGGTGGCCCATGGCCAAAAATTAAACATTTTGGTGGCCCATGGCCAAAAATTAAACATTTTGGTGGCCCAAAAAATAATGCACAAAAGGGGAGACAGATGAGGATGAGGATGGCGTGGGAAACAGATGAGGATGGAGTGGGAGACAGATGAGGATTGTTTATTCAATGATCTCTCTTTTGGCTCAATTTGTTTTCTTTATGTTTTTTTTTTAATTTTTAATTAATATAACACTTTATTACTACTTAATATATATAAAAATTTGGGGCCCCAAAAATTGGAGGCCCATGGCCGTCGCCCTCCTTGCCCACCCCTCTGGGCCGGCCAACCATAATTTCTGCAGCTCCAGCTAGTTTTTATGCATAAAGTTAATAAAAAAATGTTGAAACCGTCAAAATAGTGCCTTCTCTTGACATACAGGGTTTTAAATGAGAATCTGCCTTGGATAGAAGCATTAAATATAATCTCCAGATGAACCGTGATGTATCAACCATGTTTTCTATATGCGATAAACCAAGAACAACAAGGTAATTAGAACAAGAGAATCCGTTCCTTTGAAATCTGATGCAATACTTTTTTGTCTTCTGAAAACAAGAGCAGCAAAGGCTAAAACAATAGCTTCCAATTTTTTTAACTTCTAAGCTGGCCATGTATGGCCTAAAGCATGGACTAGGGGCAATTATGGCCTAAAGCAGCACCGCCGTAGGTTTCAACCTCGATCGCTCATGGACAATTAAGTCGAACAAAATGGATTCACTAGTTCTTCATATGAGCATTCTGTCTATTACAGAAAAGGGGAATAAGGTATTTGCAATATTTCTTCTTTCTGTTAAAAATGGAATTGTATTGTCCTATTTTCTTGGCATAGTAAGCAACATATTAATTGGATTTTTATGGCCAACAAACTATCCATATATTGAGAAAGAAATTTTGTCGAGTTGACTTTGTACAGGAGTCTTATTTGGAGCATAAGGTACGTGACGACCACAAGGTTTGACAATGTCTATGGCTTTGAATTTTTTGAGTTGAAACATGAAGGCACAGAGGCTCAATTTTTTTTTACCTTTTCTATGACTGTTCATATAGTTACGGCGGGGAAGCTCACCTAGATGAGAGGAAAAGTACCACTTGTTATGATTTTTACCTTGGTTCAACTTTGTCTTGGACATCTAAGAACATACAACCCTAGCCTTGTCTTCATCACGGTTTGTATGTGGGAGTCTCTTTTGCTATCTTGGAGGACATATGACTGAGGAATCTGCTAGAGGCATCAAATCATCCACAAGAACAGCGACCACGGACGAAAAATCTGCAAGTTATTTCGCAAAGAAAACAGTAGAACGTGAGATAAGAATCAAACATATCAAGTGAAGCAAAACTAAAACAGTTGAACTCGTGTATTGTCATACCGTCATAGAGCAACTAGCTAACATCTCCACTAAGCCAGTTTAAGAGAAATGTCTTGGCATAAAAGCGTTTTGATTAGAAAGGCCGTTTTTGAAGATTAAAACAAATCAAAGCCTTTGATGATTGTGAATATATTATCATTCTTTGTTAACCTTCTTCATATATTATCATTCTTTGTCAACCTTCTCTGTTCCTTCCTTTCATTTTGTCTTTAAGAAGTATGATAGAAGTCAGTGTTAGTTTCTAAACTTGACGCGAACGTATAATGGAGGAAAATATTGAAGGTTTGAATTTGAAGATTACAAATCTTCTATCGCTATTGTGCTATTGGATTTTGTGGGAATTATAAGTGATGTCCAGAAACTTTTTTCCAGAAATTTCAAACTCATGTCATCAATCACGCTACTTACAACTTTTCTTAATTCCATCCTCACGATCTTTTCTTAATTCTGTCCTCCAAGGCAAACTTCCTACAAGTTAATAGTCCCAATAGTCCCACTAGCGGAGAAAAGACTTATTGACCAAGGAACTTGATCTAGGCTTCTGTCTTCTGTCTTTTAAAAAAGGGGAGATTCCTCCAACCTTCTGCCATACTCTGCCATAAAATTACAGTTCAAGTGCCATCTAGAATGCTGAAGAAAATGCCAACTGCAACTGGAAAATAATCCAGATAAATGCTTGAAATGCTACAGACTTTAAATCCTGAAACAAACCGCAAAAATAATACATAAAGAACAAGTAATAACTCTGTGTTTATTAACAAGGGGCCCTACTTAGAACTTTATAGCTCTGTGTTTATAGCTCTGTGTACGCATATATATGCCAAAAAAAAAAAAAAAACAGAAAAAGAAAAGGCAAAGAATGCATAATTGTCAAGGCAAAAAGATCTTAATAGCTCAGTGAATTATACCTCATCATAGTTGATGCTTAATTACAAAACCAAAAATAATCTAGAGTTAATCCACATATTCATGACCTAACTAAAGATTTCTTGGATTAAAAGAAGAATCGAATACCTACAAATGATGCTCCAAATCGCACCTAAAATATTAAAGAGATATTTAGTCATATACCCAATCTTAGCATTAAAACTATAAATAAACCCTACACCATTTAATTTCTATAAACAAACCCAAAAAAAACCCAAAAAATGATAGCTGGCCCTATTTAATTTAATTTTGATTATTAAATTACTTTGATGCCCTATTGAGTGTTTGTGCTTTTTATGGGGTTTTGGGGTTGGGTCTGTTTTAAGAAATCAATGGCAGTTTTGTAATTTAAAAGAAGTTAAAAGCCTTTTTGTTATGTTGTAAATGGACTTTGGATGTGTTTCTAAAGTCTATTTGATATAGGGTTTCTTTATATATATAATTTGGGCTCCTATATTGGGTATAATAGTGAATCTCCAAAGATTAAATTGAAAAAAAAAAATAGTAACAATACCTAGCATCACCCACATTCATCCCCAAATTACACCCAAACAAAAAATCTTAAAATCAATACCTAGAATCTCTGCCATGGAGGAGAACACACTAGCTCAGCATCTAAATAAACCGATCTTCCGCAAAGAAGAGAAATTCCCTACAAAGCATAGACACATCAGCATGAAAACATTCCTTCATAGATCATCTTCTTCATCACACCTGAATCCGACATTGCACCTAAGAGAAAACACCAACCAATCACAACACCAAGTTATATACCAAAATACGGACAACAAGAGTCGGGAGAGCATTGGTGCAAGCACCAAAGCAAGAACTGTAGCAAAAGCTCTAAATACACTCCAATAATAGCGCAGCAAAGCTTGAATGTAGGTAGGAAATGTAAGAGTGGTATTCGCATAGACTTACCGTTTCAAACCAAGGGCGCATGTTGTAAATATCTCAAATATGGTCTTTGGTCTTTCTATGTTTCAATAAATAACATTTAGGGGTAAAGAATATGAAATAAAACATGCTTATCAGAATGACCAATCTTAGCCAGTAAGGCTTGGTTCATATCAGTGGACTTAAGGGCGCATGTTGTAAATATCTCAAATATGGTCTTTGGTCTTTCAAGTACTTTTAAAAACAATTCTGGACCATACCAATCTTAGCCACTAAGGCTTGGTTCATATCAGTGGACTTAGTCAACCAAAGCCCCCTCTACTTTTAGGCCTACAAACAAGATCTAATTGACGCGCAAGATACACGTATGTTGTGTATTTTCTCACCACCCAACCCCACAAAAAGAAATTCCTATTCACGTTCTCCAGCTCCATCATTTCAAAATTGAAATGTTAAAAATATACGTTAAAATGGCAATCAATCAAGGCTTAAGAATGAATTAAAGATACATTCAGATTGGCCTTATGGACCAATTTAGACTCTTCCACTATCAACTCCTCAGCAGGATGTCAAAGTTATGAGAGAAGCTGTGGTTTATGACCTTACAAGTTTTTGTTAAACATGATTAATACAATTCTTCTAGAAGAAAAAAATAAAAATAAAAAGAAAAACATTATTAAGTTAAAAAAAAAAATAGCAAAGGATCACAATGATTAGAGAATTACCCTCCATTTGGATGAGGGAATATAACTCAGAATTTAGCTAAAAGCCGGTAATTTACGAGGAGAAATTAACAATTCCCTTGCTTGGCATCTTAAGCGCAGAATTTATTAAATGACGCGTGGAAAAAATCGTGAAAATTGGGGCATCAAATTTCCGAGTTAAATTTCCACTAAAATAGACGTTATTTCACAATTTCTATAGTGTTATAAAATTCGACACACATATAAATCCAAACACTAAAATCTTCAATTGCTAGAAATTGAAATAATGGAAATCTAAATTCCGTCATTTTAGAATTGAGAATTACCCTCCATTTGGATGAGGGAATATAACTCAGAATTTAGCTAAAAGCCGGTAATTTACGAGGAGAAATTAACAATTCCCTTGCTTGGCATCTTAAGCGCAGAATTTATTAAATGACGCGTGGAAAAAATCGTGAAAATTGGGGCATCAAATTTCCGAGTTAAATTTCCACTAAAATAAACGTCATTTCACAATTTCTATAGTGTTACAAAATTCGACACACATATAAATCCAAACACTAAAATCTTCAATTGCTAGAAATTAAAATAATGGAAATCTAAATTCCGTCATTTTAGAATCCTATGTAATTTTCAATTCCTTCATCCAAACGGAGGGGTTAGCAAAAATAGCTAAATACGCCATCCATTTTAATCCCGATAGTCTTAAATGCCAAGACAATTTAGGGGGATATGGTAGATATCCAATATCCACAAATACCAGCTATTGCCTGAGAGGAGGAGCCTAGACATTGGGGGTGTGTGTCGATTCGAAACCAATACAATTTATCCAATCTGCATCCGATCCAATATAAATTGGATTGTGATTTTCCAATCCAATTAGATCACAGGTTTAAATCTAATCCAATCCAATCGAATTGATATTGAATTGAATTGGATTAGATGATCTGTTTTGATAGTAAAGAAAGACAATTACGAAATATGAAACATCTAAGCCAATGCAGGATTACCACAACGGTTGTGGCCCTCCCCTTCCCACATGTTTGGCACCAAGGATTGAAACCCCCTGGTTTCTTTCCTCCCAATGCAACCAAAAAAAAAATTGAAACATCTAACATTAGGTTTAATCAATGAAACATATTAATAAATGTAAAATGTAAAATATAAATGAAATGCTAGAGAAAATTGTTTTGATTCTATAATATATTAAACATAACTCCATCAAATGACTTCAAAGGTTCATAAAATTTTCAATTACAAATACCTACAGGAGCAAAATAAGCATAAAATTAACTAGATTTGATTGGATTCTCACAAGCAAATTTGTCATGCGATCTAATCATGTCGCTTTTGGAAATTAGTGATCCGTTCTGATTCGCTGAATCATCGAAACCAATTTAAATTAAATTAAATTAAATTAAATTGGAACGGTCGATTTGAACGAATTGGATTGGATCTTGCACATCCCTACTAGACATATAAGAACTGCAGAGGAAAATACGGATCGATTC